TATATATATGCCCAGGTATTTCTCCTGTGTGTGGTCACGCTAATCTTGGTCTAAATCTTTCTCCATTGTTGCTATCAAACACCTTTTCTTATAGTTAAATATGTGTATAGGGGTATTTCAGATATTTGTCTACAGACAACACTTTCAAAAATGAATTTTTCAAATGGGACAACTGCTTCTGAAAAATCAGCTTTTAAATAGCAGATTTTTCACAACAAATTTTGAATTGAGATTTCATAAACCACAGCCAAAACAAGTGCACCCTCAACTTTTCCGCATGGATAGATGAAGAACCAAACTGATGGTCAGCAGAGAGCCGTTCTCAGAAAAAATAAGCTATTGGTTACAACTTACAATTTCACTAAAACTGTTCCACAAGACACCAACACAGTCATTTCCATTTTTCCAGCATTATTGCCTGCTTTCCAAGTAGGATATGTAGTGTGCACAGCCAATAAGCAGAAGAGAAGATATTTTTTTAGGAACATTTACATACATAGCACACAATTCTTAAGTATATACATATCTCACACCTACACTTTCATATTTACATAAATAAAGCAGGACAAACCTCACTCCAATGATGAAGGCTGACTTGGCTTTAGATTAGGGAGGCCAACATGGCAGTAACGAGTTATATTGGCATCAATGACAGAGGATGACTTGGTGTGAACAGGGTGGGTGGAATGAGTGCCAATAATGAAGCTTGATTTGGCATCAAGAGAGGAGATCATCAAGCCTCATTGATGAAGGTAGACTCGAGTCAACGGGGAAGGCTAGTTGGGTGCCAGTAATGAGGACAACTTAGCATCAGCATTCACAAGGGAGGCCAACTAGAAAACAAAGATGGAGGCTGATTGGGCAAAACAAAACAAATCCAACAACGAGAAAAGGGAGGCAGGCATTGGAAAGTGACTGTTTCCGCCCGAAATTCTTATAGAGATTGTTACAACTTTAGGAAAAATTTTTCTACATGAACTAGATTAGAAGGCATATTTGTAGACTCGCCAATAAAAAGAAGATTTATAATCATTTAGAATGGAAGATAAAGTAACACATTTTTCTTCAATAAAATTAATGTGTTTATAAATTGATGACATAATAATACTCTATTAAAATTTTAATTAAATTAACTTTAAAAAAATGAAATTAACAGTTACGACACCTGTAAAGCAGGTGTCGTTCGAATGAGAATCCTGCCGCCGTTGGGAGAATTAAGTCGAGGCTTTTCCTCATCCATTCGAACCCACTGCACGAGAGAGAGAGAGGGCGAAAGAGGCAGAGGACAAGAAAGCGAGAAAGGGTGTTGTGCCCTAATTGAAGAGGAGGACGAAGAAGATAAAGGAAGGGGAGGAAGTTACCATAGCATTGTATGAGCGTTCGACCAAACCTTTCTACACCTTTGACTGAGCGAACTAAGCGAAAGGAGGAAGGATTGAAGGCACCCAGAAGCCCTTTTCCGCAATCGAGAGATGCACGAGCGAGCACCTGGAGGGCTAGAGCGGCTCACCCAAGCCTTCCTCTTGTGTCGTCAATGATCCATCAATCGTGCAAGCGTAGAAGAGAAGGGAGACAAAGCCACGAGTCTCGTCAACTCCAATGAAGGCTTCTGGTGCCCTAACTAATTAAAAGTAAGTAGTAGGAATGAGCGGCCTGCAAGAGTCATTTCAACGCATGTGGAGCATTTGATCGGGTTTATACAGGATTTGGAAGCAAGGTGAAGCTAAAGAAAACACTTTCCCTACGTTGTGATCGAGCCTCTAAATCCTCAGTTCGTAGAAATAGAACAAGTGAACCATGAATAAATGTAAGTTTTGAACCGTTTTGGTAATAGCTTTGAAACTGAAAATTAAATTTTTTTTATGTTTAATAAATTGAAATGAAGAAAATTCATAAACTTGAGATTAAATTTTTGAATTTTGTAAAATCATGTTTTAGTATTTCGGCGAGGAGACTAAAGCGAAGTAAGATTTTATTTTGTAGTAGAAAAATTATTAAGTATGACGACCCATTTTAACACTTAATCTATATATATTTAATTAATTGATGTTAAGTCACATTCCAAGTTAATAAACCTATAAGTTAAAATATAACTAAGTTATTCCTAACTTAAGCATGTCAGACTACATTTTATATTTATACTAGTTTATGAAAAAATTTAACATTTAGACAAAATTACTTAAATTGAGACCATAAGAGAAGAAAATATGTATTTACATATAAAATGATAAACATTAGAAACAGATCAAATATAAATTGTTCCTTTAGGTGCCCAAAAAAACTAGTTCCACCCCAGGAAAAGAATAACAAATTTCAAACTATACTGTTCATGTGGGTAAATATGTTTTTAATTTAAAATAGTTCTGATTATGTCTTAAAACAATTACACATGTTTTTATTTTTTTCAACATTTATTTTAAAAATGCAAAAGTTCATGTCTTTCTTTAAATGTTAAATATAAGAAAAGAAATAAAGTATAATATATGAATGCATATGAGAGTCACACCTGAATGATACTAGCAAGGGAATGCAATGTACCCATGGACGAAAATGAAAATCAAAATGGTTGTCAACCTTTATGCTAAGTTGAAAATTGTTAAAACGACATTTTTTTAAGTATATGTTTAAACGGTGACTCCCAATAATGAAAAGTATAATATAAATAAATGAAAGTAAAAAAAAAACTTTCTTTTTTTACTGTTCTTTTAATGCGCACACTTCTTTATTGTTTCTTACACTCTTACAAAAATTTTAAAATTTGAATTATAGTAATTTAGAAATATTTTTTCACTAAATAGTTCAGCTCAAACCTTTCGTTGCTAACTTTCTTATAGGAAAACCAATTTTTGGCTAGATGGATCCTAAATAGTGCGTGTACAGGCACCGAGGAGTACGGGTTGATAGGTACTATATGTAATTTTTTATTTTTTGTCAATCATAAATAATTAAAATCTGTGTGAACGGGTTGTAACTTTAAATTTTATAAAAAGAATATCTATTGTGGTTTTGGATTTCATTTTAATTATAAAAAAAATTATTAGATAGTTTTTCTCCATCCGACCGACAGTTCTCGCCTTGGTAATTCCAAGGTCTTGGGATGGTCGTGATAGTTTAAACTACCAAAAAACCCTAGTTGAGCTCAAATTCTAATAAGGGATGTCAACCTTGTATTAGCACCATTGATGCTTTTATTCAATGAACACAGGATCCTAAATGACAGAGGGGCAAAGAGAAGTCGAGTCACAAAGAATAATATTTTCTACCTTATAGGTTAATTCTAATATATGATGCTACCTCACTCAACTCTAGGTAAAAAAGGACTGATATTCAAGAAATAACATAGTCATCCTCATCTTGAACGAAACGTTGTAAAATAAATAATGCACAATAAAGAGGATGAAGATGGTCGTGATAGCTTTGAAAAGATCAATAAGTTCTAAATTATTACAAGAAAGCGACAAAATCAATGGCAACCAAGTTCACTAGCTTGCTCTTTGCTAAGTGTTGAGAAGAAACGCAAAAACAATTTTAAAACCTGAAAGGGTAAAAGGCTTCAGCAAGTGGGTGTTCTCAACAAAATTAATAAAAAACTATTACAATATCAAGCAGAAAATCTATAAATAAACTGATTAGAATACTTATTTATAGGGCTCACCAAAAAAATGTTTATTTTGATCGGACAACAAGACTTGGCATAATTGGTATCTATGTTCAACAAATGGAGGGCACCATAAGATGGAGGGGCAGATAAGAGTCACAAGTTGCAGGTAATGAGTAGTTTTTTTCACTTGATCAAAGAGGAAAATTCCATTGGAAGGTGCTCCTTGCTCAAATATGGTAAGAATAGAGACCATCATGCTCAAGGAAAATTTGACAATTCTTCCTCATTTCAAAATAAATGATTCATAATAAAGTGGAGGAAGAAGAATGATGTAATTTAGAAATGATCAATAAATTTAATTTACTGCAAGAAAATGATTGCATATTAATGACAACCAAGGTTGCTAGCATGCCCATTGCCAATGGTCGAACTTAGGAGGATCAATTAATCCATTGCCCACCAGGATGCTTTGTGAAGATGGCACCACCACCCCATTCTTGCACAAGAAAGAAGTTCGCTAAAATGTTGAAGATAAAAAACCTAAATTGAGTCAATCTAGTGCGGCCAGGAAAATTTTGAAATTTGTTTGGGCTTCACTTTGATTGATTCAAATATGCACAAACTTTGTTCAAGCCCATGGACTTTGTATAATGTTTGGTTGAGCTGATTCTAAAATGTCCAAGCAACATTATCGTTCAAGAATGCCAAATTAGACACTGATTACATCTTTTGTAGATGCTTTTAAATTCATGAGTTGCATCAAAAAAATATAGGAAAATAAGTTCAGTTTCTCAGGAACCAAACAATAGTGAATTCAAAAAATAAGAAATAAGTTTCTTAGAAGCAAAAAAGAAAGTTTCTTCAATATTTCAAAAAGAAGAAGTAGACGATAAGCCATTTTTTCTTCTAGAGTCAAGAGTAAGGTAACTATATTTTATCATACATTTAAAGGGAAAACTCTATTTTGTTCAGCAAAAATCATAAAAGAATCAAAATCCTATACCATAGCTAACAAGGTAAATAAAATTTTGAATTAATCTTTAAAACTTGGGTGAAAATTTTAAAGGAAACTTTAATTTATACTGTAGAGCTAGAGACTGAAGTCCTTCAAATCATACTCCATGAAGAAGAAAAAAAGCAACTTTATTTAATTGATAAGTGAGAGTCTGATCATGGAGTACTTGAACCACGTCGTAGGTTTGAATGATGCCAGTCCAGAATTGAGTTGATTTTAGCTCTGCTGAAAACATCACTTGGATACCTTGATTGAAAAAGAAAACAAAGTAAGGTTTTCAAAAAAATTTAAGCTCCAAAGACAAATGTAAATTATAAATAGAAGTTTTTTTACAGTCGTTATTAATGAAATATCAACATGAATCTAAACCGGAAGTAAAAAAATGTAAACCATAAACTTTCAGTCTGCTGATAAAATGCAACGCAAGAATGTAGCATTAGTAAATTGTTTAACTTCATTGATGATATTGGCGAAAGAAAACTTTTCAAATACTTATGATGATTAATCATAAATGACAAATAAAAACATAAATGGAAAAGGTTGATCGTGCCAGGCAGTCTCGCGCACAGTTCATCCAATTACTATTTATGTTCATGTTTAAAACTTAAGGCTTAAAAGTCCTTTTAGATATAGTTCAGGTATTTCAGTCATTTCACATAATTTGGAGGTCATGATCACCGTCTCTATTTTCAATTTATTTTAGCAACTGCTTGGATATTTGAGTAATTGTATAACATTTTGAGGGCATCCACCGTCCCTATTGCCAGTCACTTAAACAATTGCTCAAGTATTTTTGTAATTTTGCATCATTTCGAGGTCATGCCCCTATTTTGTTAGGAAACATTGCACACAATTATTATAAATTTACATATCTAACTCCTTAAGTTTGATATTTATATTTATAACATTTTATGTCATATAGCTATGCATGAAAAAGGTGTGTTTCACTTTTAAAAGGTTAAAAGTAATGGTATTTTTTTATGTAATATCAAATATTTGATTAATATACCTGTAAATATGAAGCATTAAGTGTTATACATGTAAACACATAAGAATTATGTGGTATTTGTATGTATGTAACTGCCCCTTTTTATTAAGTTCATTACTTAGCTATTGTAGAACCTACTGTATGAATAAAAATTCAATTGAAATTATGCAACGAAGTCTAGAATAATCATATTCTCAACTTGACACCGTACTAGGGCTCCTATAAGAAGTTCAAAAAAGGGATTTAGCTTGAAAGCAGTTGTGGAATCATGAAGGAATAAAAATATGGCAATTGGTGAGAATTGGAAGCAATATGAGGCATTCAACGGCTGAAATCTGTTGTGGACTAAAAACAGCGAGCAAATGGCGAATCGGCGAGGTGTGAAGAGTGAAGAGGATCTACCACCTATTCCTGAGCAAGATACAGATACACCAATCGCAAAAGAAAAATGATACAGTACTCCAGAAACATAAAACAGAGATTACAACCTACAAACACTAACAATAGTCAAAAGTCCTCCAAAACAATAAAATAACAGCATATAAATTGTTCCCTTCTAGAAAATCCTAAATATAAATTAATAAATAGGGAAAAAATCATATTTAAGCTTCCAATAATAAAACAAAATTGGTTCACAAGCTTGGCGGCAGAAATCCTGAATGAGAAGGCCAGCAGGGAGTTCTACTGGGATGAAAATCTTCCTCTTAGTGTGAGCAAGAAATTCCTACGAAAGTTTTACGATCTGCTCCCATGATCACGAGAAAATTTGAAAGTGGCTTCCGCGTTCAATGCGAAGGCGACCAAGCGTTATGGAAATGCGCCCCGCGTCATTCTCCTCGGGTGCCTTCTTCGCTGGAAAATTCTGGAATCAGTCTCTCACCATCATAAATAAATCATCGTCTTGTTGTGTTTGAAGCAGTCCAACTACAAAAACTATGCTCACATCCATTTTAGACAACTACAAAATATATACAAAATGTTTTTTTTTTTCTTTCTGGCGTACATATGAACCTTTCTGGCGTACATATGAACTTTTGAACTTTTTGGTTCTTGGTGGGAGTTGTGAGAGGCTTTAGTGCAGTGGGTTTGTTTTTAGATTGATTTGTGATATTGGGAACAATAGTGGGTTCATCAGGGATATAAGGGAGGCGAGTTTAAGGTTCCTAAATGGTACCCTAATTTTAATATGCACTCAAACTCTCCTATTGAATATCAGATTTGGTTTTCAAAGAATGTGAATGATATTCATGGAGTTGTAGAATCTTTGTGCTTCTGAATAGTAACATTTATACCCATTTTTGTTTGAAGAGTGGCTCACAAAGATACATTTGATTTTCCTAAGAACAAGTTTGGTATGGTGCGGTTGATTAGAAGAACAAAGGCAATGCTAAAAAAAACTTTTAGTAATAAGTTAGAGGAGAATGACTGAATGTGAGGGTAGGATTTTATGAGTGTTAAGAGATTTGTTAAGGTTTAACATTATGTTGAGCATCCTCTTTATGAGATAAATGAATGAGAATTACATCCCCATAAGTGTTTGGGTATAATATTAGTGAATAGAATTGAACGGGTCACCTCAAGGAGATAGTATGTTCTCTCTCAGCCACACAATTTTGTTGGGGTGTGTAACGCAAGAGCTTACAGGAATGATGCCATTTTTGGATAGATAAGGGCCAAGAGTAGAGTAACGGTAGCCTTTACAATATCGGTTTGAGAATCTGAATTTTGTTCTAAAATTGGGCGAGAATCATGTTGTGAAAAGTTTCAAATATGTTGGAAGTTTCATATTTATCCTCATAAGAAAGCTCCAAAAGGTTCTAGTGTGATCACCAATGAATGTGACAAACCACCTAATTTCATTTATTTTTTTTATTTTTGAGGGCCCATAGATACCATTATGAACCATGGAGTGGATATGTTGGTTTCTATTTCAGGCTTGGGTGCACTTATCAAGTATGTTTAGCAAGTTGGTAATTTTTACACTAATAAGAACTATGTTTTTTTTCGTAGATAAACAATGGAAATATAATTTTCAATATAATAGAAATTATGATGCATAACGCAAAAATGTCATAATAAAACTACACTCTTGAGAATTAAACTTAGATACAAGACTTAACTCAAGAGTTTATGAATGATGGGACTGTCTTTTTAAATTGAGAGTCTACTGAGTTGATAAAGTTCATGATACATCCCAGCACTGTCAATCACCTTCATCAAGTCTTTCACCTAAAATTCATACAAATTATGATAAAATTTAATAACATAATTCATGTCATGAGATTGAGATTCACACTCCTCTTCTTTCCACAAATGAGAGGGAGTCATTTGTGATTCTAACTGCAACATATGCTTACAAGAATTGCAGGATTGGAAAGCAGTGATATCAATTGTCATGTGATCAGATGCTATAGAGTCTATTATCCAAGACTGATTCTTCTTGTTAATAGAGCAGACGGAAGACTATCTTGATGTGCTAGAAGACTGGTAGAAGGCCTGGTATATTTTCTTACAAGCCTTTGAAGAAATTCAAGTTTCATGTCGAATAACCTATATTCATGAGCCTTGTCTTCCTTTGATGTTGTGTTTGCTTGATTTTCTTCATCACCTTTGACTTTGTTGGGCTTCTAATCTGCAGGTTTTTCATAAACTTTTCAACACTTCTTCAGATGACCAAGTTTCTTACAATGTTCACATTAAGATTTGTTTCACTTTGACTTGTTGTCCTGAGATGATTTGTGAGTGTATAAAATTGAGTTGTCAATATTTAAAGTAGTAGGATTACCAATCATCGTGAGTTTCTTCCCGCTCTCCTCCTTTCTCACTTCATAAAAAGCTTCATGAATTGAGGGAAGAGATTTGACTCTCAAGATTCTACATTTGACTTCATCTAGCTCCTTGTTGAGTCATAGAAGGAACTCAATGATTCTTTTCAGTTCAACAATGATTTTGTAAAGAGTAGAGCCTTGTAAGCAACTCCATGTGTATGTTAAATTCATATCTAGGAGCCAATATTTGGAGAGAGTACTAAAGTATTGAGTAACATTCAACCCGCTCTGTCGTAGACATATAATCAAATTTTAATGTCAAACAACACAAAGGTGTTGTCAACACTTGAATAGGTTCCCTTATGGCATCTCAGATTTCTATTGACGTTTTGTACATGAGGACATTTTCTACAATTTTCGAGGTCATGGAGTTGACAAGGCACGACAAGATCGTGTGATCTTCAATCTTTCATGTACGATGTTTAGGATCATAATTTTTTTGTGAAGGATTCTCCTCGATGAGATGATCATATTTTTCTTTACCACAAATGTACATGAACACAGATTAAGACCATTGGAGAAAATTATTGTCATATAGTCTGTGATTGGTGATGCAGGAAAAGAATTTAGATGCTACAGAACCAAACATCCTAGGTTCAGCCTTAAACGTAACTTCTAGGGAAGAAGCAGTTTTCATTCCATATTTGATCGTCACGTGAATTTCCACTATAAAGAAATTGTTTGTTATTGGTACAGAATTTTGGTTGGAAAGAGAGATTGTATGTCGCAAACATAAGACTTTCTAGAGAGAGAAATTGTTAGTCATCTACACGGGATTCTCACTTGAGAAGAATATTGAACACCGTTCCAACTAAAGAGAAAATTCCTGGCGATTCTCAATTTTCTTCAGGAGAGAAGGGTGCAAGTTTGGATTGCAGGCTCGGCTTCTGGCTGGACCGAGATGTTCACTACTTGAGGAGATTTTGATAATCTGTAAACACAAAGCAGAGAAGACTCTGGTTGGCTAGGGAGGAAGAAAAAGAATATTTCGGCCTGGGATGCTGCAGAAGGAAGCCACCGCTGCAACCTAGGAGAGTTCGCCTGCAAGAAAAGAGGCCTCCGTGGAAGTTGGAGAAATTCTAGTGGCTGCAGGGAAGACTAAGGTTGCTAAAAAAAAATCTAGGGCTTATTTCGTTCCTCTGATACCATATGAAATTTAGGAGGAATTTTTTTAGAGGAAAAAACTCTCTAATTTTCTCATTAAGGAAATAACAAACATATACAACACATACTAACCCTGATATAATTGGAGGGAAATTCAAATCATTATGATAAAAAAAGGAAAGAAATAAAAAAACAAAATAATGGATAATTAAGGAAGAATAATTTCTTCCCCTCAAATATAGCAACAAAGCCACTGTTTCCTAAACCGTGAGTGGGCCCATGCAGTGAACAGATATATGCATATCAACAATTATCAGTTCTAATTATGTTTTTGGACTAAATTAGTATATAATAGTCATAAAATAAATGAAAACACAGGCAGAATTTACCAGTGATCGGAAACTCCAGGGAATGCACCAGCAATATATCGCAGAATGGCATGACTGCAAAACAAAAAAGTTACTTAGATTTCACATGGTAAAAGCAAAGCCAAGAAGGAAGGTGTAAAGGTAATAAAATTATTTTTCAACAGAAAAATGCTTGCACAAAACAAATGTAAGAGGCAGCCAAATAAGAAAAAGTTGAAAAAGAAAAATAAAATAAAAGATGCCCAGACAATGTAAATGGCAAAAGATTTTTTTTTCCGTTGGCAAGATTTGAGCTCGAACCTCCCCATTAAAGGAAAGGGGCATTACTAGGCATCCAAAGATTTAAAAACAAAAAATCGATTGTATTTAAAAGTTTCTAGTAAAATCATTTCTTTAAAAAAAAAAAAGAAATTTACAAACGACATAATCGACTAAATAAAAGTCAATTTTGACTTTCAAAATTTTAAATCGACTTTTACTTGATTTTAGATAAAATTTAAATTTTCGTTCTGTTAGCTACTACATGCATTCAAGGGTTCAGAAAAAAAAAATGTTCATAGGTAAGATAAAAAATAAAATGATGCGACTGGCAGCTCACGAGCCCGAAGGCGTGGAAAATTAGGTTTTTTTAATAATATTATTAAATTTCCTAGCAACAGGCTAATAAATTCCCTCGCAAAAGTTGTTAGTTGGTGGATTGTTCGTGTAAACGGAGATTTTTTCATGGGTGGCTCATAGATTATTTTTTAGGCACCTTAGAAAAAGCTTTAAAAATACAATTAAACAGATGGGTATATCCGATGTAGAGACAATGTGTCAGAAGATGTGTTGGGCAGAAAATATGGATAATATTAGATTGTTTGACAACATATGACTGATATTCGTAATGTTAAACAAGAGGCATATGATTGGTTGATTTCTATAGATGTTATAAGATGGAGACTATCTCACGATTGTGAAAGATATGAAGTTATGACAACTAACACAACTGAATGCTTCAAAAGGGTCCTTTGTCGAGCGAGAGGACTTCTTATTCATGCATTGGTTTGCTCTATATACTACAATATCATATTTTTATTTCTTAGAAGATATAACACAACACTGGATCATGAAGCAGCAAAAGAATTGTCTATTACTAAGGTTGTAATAGAGCCAAGTCGAGTCGAGTATATCATAGTTCGAACTTGGCTTAGCTTAATTATAAGTTGTTCATGTTCAGTTTGAGCTTGTGTCGAGCTTTCATATGTTGTTCAAGCTTGACTTGTTTGAATTTTTCAATGCTTAGACTTGATTTATTTATGACAAGTGAACGAGTATTTAAAAAAACTAATGAACAAGCTAAAAATTTAACAGAGTATCGAAATTTTCATACAAAAAATTAAATAAACAATTTTACAAATTTGATCACAATTATTGTTTTATTGATTATAAACTCTAAAACCTACATTATATTAAATATCATTTCTCCCCCATTTTGCCCTAAATTTCTCGCTTAGGGGATGTTTAGTATAATGATCTGAGTAGCATTTATGCCTAATTTAACATAAATCTTACCAAACAACTAAAAATGACAACTTTAAAACCCACAGAAACTTAATATCAAGTATTTCTATACCATACATGACATGAGTTATCAATAAACGAGTTATTATTCTAGTTAATTAAATTTTATTTAAATAATATATGATATATAATATCAGCTATCATTGAGTTTAATATCGAGTATTTAACAAGTTATTTGTTGAACAACAAACGAGTTTGTTTATGAACATAAATGTATAAGTTTGACTATGTTCATATTTAGTTTATTTAAGTTTCGAACTTTTAAAAATTGTTTAAACTAGTTTATTTACTAATTTGAACTAACTTGATAAAGTCTTCATCAAGTCAAGTTCGAGTTTTTCATCTAGTGTATTGGTTCAATTACAACCCTACCTATTAACACTGGAGAAAGCACTTCCCTTCGACAATATGAAGCTGAGGCTAGAAGATTTCCTAAACCAACTCGTATTAACTTTCACGAGTACGCGGTCTACGATTTCAGTTGTCACTCCTTTCTGGTTCACTTACATGCAGATGGAGGTTGTAGTTGTAATTGCGTATGACTGGAGGCTTATCATATGCCTTGCTCACATATCATAGTTGTTTCAGGTCATAAACATGTAGATTATCTATCATATATCTCTCATTATTATACTGTTAAGTCTTTGAAGGATACTTATACATTTGAATTCCATGTTATACCTAGGGCTGTCAAAACGGTTGGTTGTTCACGAACAACTCGTGTTTGACTCGTTAATTACCTCGTTTTCAATTTATTTGCCAAACAAATAACTCGAACATGAATAATTTTTTTACGCTCGATATATAAACGAGTCAAACACAAACAAAAATTTATTCTTTCGTGTTTGACTCATTTTGGCTCAAAATAATAATATATATACATATAGCTAATGGGTATTTTTTAATATAATTTAATTGACTACAAAGTTTCAAATATTTATAATCAATTAAAATTATTAATTAAAAAATAGCATAAAACTATATTAAATTCTATTTAAATAAATATTTAATATAAATATTAAGATATAAATCTCGCCCTTACTTTGAACATCCTACGATTGCATGATTAGAGATGTTAAAATGACATGTTGTTCATGAACAGCTTGTGTTCGGCTCGCTAAGCAGACGAGTCAAATACGAACAATTTTTTTGCACTCAATAGATGAACAAGTTGAACACGAACAATGGTATTTTTTAACGAGTCGAGTCTGGGCTCGCTTAAGCTCGGCTCGTTTACACCACTAGTTATATCTGAGCAAGCATCATGGTCTGATTTTGATCCAATGCTTGCAATTATTGAGTTAGCACCCACAAATTTTAGATGGAGAATTGGAAGACTGCGTACAAAGTGTTATACAAATACGATGGACAAACATACTTCTTTGGGACAAAGGATATGTAGCTTATGTTGTACTATCGGACATAAAAATCTACTTGCCCATCAAACCCAAAAAATATCTAGTAACATAAGTTGAATAATACAATGCTCTTGGTAATAAATTTCAAATGATAATCGTATCATCTTCAACATACAAATATCATGACAGGCGATAGACATAAAAGGGGACATAGAGATGGAATGTCGCAGTCTCAATGATGTAGGACACGACCTAGCGAGAAGCCTAAGATTAGGCCAGCATTTCGCGATGTGCACCCTGACGTTACTCCACTACGTGAGACACAGAGCAACACACCATGATGAGGCATTATTTGATTAATCCTAACATTTAATTCACTTAATGTCATTATTTATATCTAATCTTAATATTTTTTTAAATTTATTTATACATGAAAATATTCTTGAGGCGAGCCCGTATCTACTTATGATGAGAGAGTGGCATAATACATGCCCACTGTTTAATTAATGATTTAACAAAGATTGATTTGGAAAGCATCAGACACCATCAATATATTAGATTAGATCACCATCTACTAACGATGCTAGCAAAGCATTAGTCTTTGGAGACTAACACGTTTCACTTGTTGAGAAGATGACAATCACTTTACAACGGTCTTTATGATTCTATGCATCAAAATAAATGAACTCTTATTTATAGGCCCAAGCGTTATTAACAAGGACAAGAGATGGGTATCATGGCAAGATTGCTATGATGATTTACTCGTACTCACCTTGATCCAAAAGTCGCCTACCACAAGCTAAGAATTTCAGATGTGTGCAAGATTCTGGATGATACAGACTATAGCACAGACTTGCGTACCTTTACGATGGCTAAGGTGACTATTTAATGGAGATTCTTACGAGAATTTAGATAAAATTATTTTTTAAAGACATGTTTGGGCATATATTTTATTCATTCTTGAGAGCTTCCTGATTTTTTATGTGCTTGGGTGGAAGATACACTTACAATATTTACCAGTGAAGGAGCATCATCAGTTTTTTCATAGTAATCTATTGAACCAGCAGTATTGGAAAATTTTTATAGGGAGCCGAGACAAGCTGCGAAGCCTACTTGAGTGAAAATAATAGGGCGTCTGCATCTACTTCAAGTTTGGCGCTGGGAGAGATTCCACATTAGCATGCTCACACTACAAGTTTCATACCTAACATTGATTGATGGGAGAAGTGTGGGTAAAAATTTTTACATAATACGTTTATAACACTTTCATTTGTATTCAATAAATTAGACTAAACTTTTTAATTTGTAGGTGGAATGAACCTATGTACGAGAGCGGTTACCTAGTCACGTACGAGTGTACCGTGATGAGTTTGATGAACTTCTACTTTCTCAGACATTTTAATTTTCTTTTGTTACACCTTATCGTTAAACTTATGAACCACCATTTTTATTACTAATTTCATTATTTTTACATACTAAAAGTTAAATGACAAACATACAATGATGAGATCCTTCATCATGTTGCTGACATGTACACCTTAGGATCAGATGTGGGAGGCTTGGGTGCCATTGGTTTGTTGGAAGCATATAAAGTGACACCTTCCAGAGAAAATTACTTGCCAATTTGGACGGTACCTAAAGGTTGAAGTCAAATTTTAACTGAAACCCACATTTTTCAGACGTATAAGGAGCCTGGAAGTATCCAAGAATGAATAATAGGTATGCTCGAACACATCTCAAAAAAGTAATATCATCTAAATCCTCATAAGAGTCTATATTAAATGTACACCTCAGTCATCGTAAGGGTACGCAAGTCTATCTCTAGTATACCCCATCTGGAATCTAGTCGCACACCTGGAACTCCTGGATTGTGGTAGACTACGTCTAGATCAGGGAGAGAATCGAATAAATCTTCGCAACAATCTGGCAATGAAGCTTATATCCTGCCCTCATCAATAACTCTTAGCCTTTTAAGTGTCAGGGCCATCTAATTTGATGCCTAGAATCACAGAGACATCTTGTAAAGTGACTGTTATCTACTCAACAAGCAACTAAAATGTTGGTCACCAAAGACCAACGTTTTACGAGCGTCGTAAGTAGATAGTGATATAATATAATATATCGACGGTATCTGATGTAGCTCGAACCAATCTTTGTCAAAGCTATAATAAAACATGAACATAAAATATTCCTCTCTCATCATAAATAGATGCAAGCTAGCCTAAAGAATAGTGTCTTATTGATAGAAATAAAACATTATTGATATATGGTATCTCTTATATTTTTCATTTTCCTTTTTTATAATTATCATACTATTTTTGGTTCTTTTCTAAAATAATACTAATTACCATTATTATTATTATTATTATTATTATTATTATTATTATTATTATTATTATTATTATTATTATTATTATTATTATTATTATTATTATTATTATTATTATTATTATTATTATTATTAGTATTATTATTATTACATTCTTTTTTCTACAATTTAAATTTTGTAAATATAATATCTTATATTTTCAAAACTTACAGTAAATTAAAAGCATTTCTTATTTTGCCGATTTTTAAAAAAATGTTCCAATAATAAAATTAAAGTTCTTATCAGACAACAAAATATTTAAAAGAGAAAATTTTTATGCCTATAAAAATAAAAAACTTGAAGTAATATGTTTTAAAGTTTATGTACAATGCTCTTTTATTTTAACAACTTTTTTCTAGAATTTTTATTGATACTAAATAATTAGAATTTGGTTCGTAAATATGGGATGATATATAAGGGTTAGCCCCATTATACATAAAAATAATAATGCAAGAATGTTTTGATCAAAATTACTTTTATAAATATATTAAAGTCATCTCAAAGCTATTTTATCTTTAATATTTAACAATTAAATAATAATTGTTTTAAAAAAATACTATAAATCTACAGGAAAAAAAAGAAAGAAAAAAAGCATAAAAAAATTAATAAAATGTACATAAATAAATACACAAAAAAAGAAAGTGAAACTCACCTCTTCCTTTTAGATAAAAGCAAAATCAAAACTCTAGCTTGTGTACTTTCACAGTGTCTCACATATTTATTTAAACGATTTCAGAGGTTTCAAGCAGCATTCTCCAAAGCCCGCACCCGTTATCAATGCCAGCAACCTCTGCCAACCAACTAACATATGCCAAACTAACGTCTGTCACCAGGAAATTTAATATCATTATTAAAAACCTTCATTTTACACGTCTTCTCGTCCGTGAGCTGCCAGCCGCATCATTTTTTTCTACATTTGACGCCTCTTTTTTTTTTATAAACCCGTGAATACATGTGCCAACCAACGGAACAAAAATGTAAATTTTACCTATAATCGGCTCGGAAAAAGTCAATTTAATAATGTGCAAGTAAAAATCAACTTTAATAAATAGATTACGCCGTTTGTAAAATTTTTTTTAGAACAAATGGTTTTATTAGAAACTTTTTAAATACCTTTGATTTAAAAGAAAAAACTCACACACAAATTAAATCAACATTTTGTAAGAGAAAAGAAATGAAGGGAATTGAAAAAGAAGAAATCAAGGTAATTTGTACTTTAAAAAAACTGACATGCATCAAAGATTTGATAAATAGAACTATAACAAAATCAAAAATTAGAATTTAGGACTATGAAAATATGCAAAAAAAAAAAAACATGAAAGTTTTCTGTTCATTCTTCTATTAATTAGTGGGATGATATTCTGGCTGTTCTACTAAAAAATAAAAAAAAATTAGAAAATGAATTCACAATTAGTACAATATCAAGAAGCAATCCAATGAATCACAGGAAGTTCAAGGGTTACAGGGTGAGCTAAAAGCTAGGAAGATAATCTGGCAAATTCATGTGCAATATTTTCAGCTAAAACAATAATTTTCTCGTTAAAATTATTAGTTCCGAAATGAACTGTAACAACAATCTGAAAAGCAAATGAAAAGAATACCAAGTAAAAGCCATTGCAATCCATGTAAAGGGGAAATAATATAAGGATAAACTTTGACTTCTACTTTATACCAGAAAAAAGTATGATTACATTTTTATCTCTTAAAACTTCTATGGAAGATTTCTGGGAAATTAAGAATTACCTTTCAAATAGTTTAAAGTTTCCATCAACAATTGCAGGAACCTGTCCCATAGGATTTATTTCTGCAAAATACATTTTAGATGTGTAATACAAAGGCTGTATCAAGTCCCTCTTGAAGGAAGAAGCCTAACAGGGATTTATCCATGAAATCTAGAGGCTCTTAAATTAAAATTAATAACAGATAAATAAGCATCGAAAAGGAATACTGGTAAGAAAAAAAATTGAAACAGATGAGAGGCGTAATTGAAAAGTTAAAAAAGAGGAACAAAAATAATTAGGCTATCCAGTTTTTCTATCTGCACTAATTTTACAAGGCATGATCATAGACAAACATTCATATTACCAGATCATCGCAATGTTAGACTGGATTGAGGTTTAAACTGAATTTTCATGCGGTTGGATGAGTATAAAATCATAACCAAAACTTCAAATCACCAGATCATGGTCCTGTTTTACTGGATTGACGAAAAAGCTACATCATTCATGTGAAACCCCTCAAGTAAAAGGAAGCTAAACTCTTAAACAAAAAGGCTAAGTCACGGAGATTATGAAACCCCAAGGAAAATGAAATTAAACTCTCAAACATCCAGGAGCCTTTTGATGTAACGATTAGATTTTCATAAAAAATTTTAAAGTTAAGCTTGCTTGTGTTGGATCACTCTCTGGATGGTTTTCCTCCTAGGAAGTTACACCAATGGAATAAAATTGTGAGGCCATTAAGCTAAAGCTGCAATATCTCGATGAATGAGAGTTTGGTCGGTCATAATTCGTGGGTACTTGCACGTATAAAACTGATGATTCCTACCCTCAATGGGATATGATGAAAAAAGAATTTGGTGTAATCCACTAACCCAAAGTGGTAGTTGTCTGGCATGACAATAATTCAGCCCGACAAGTGGTGAAAAGGTAATTGCTAGTTTCCCATAAGCGGAGCTCAGAAAAAAAAAGAAAGGAATAGGATAGAGTGAAGAAAATGAAATATTAGATCTCCATGTTTCGCGTTATTCTTCTTCCAGTAACCCAAAAAAAAAATTTAAAAACTCTTGCACATCAATCTCAGCTTCTCATGCTAAGCACGTCTCATATCCTAAAATATATGCTGCTGCCACTTTTAATGGTTCCTCCACTAATCTCACAACTCCGATGCTCTATAGCATCAACTCTGATTCTTTTATTGAGATATCCAGGCGAAGAAAGAACACAAGCAAACGAGGTGGGAGCCAGGCTTCTCACAAGATTGATCACCTAACTACAACTTCGGCCACGGAACCCAATTTCACTATCTTTGCACAAATCCAACTTCCACAAAGTCCATAGCTGTAGACAATGTCAGCGAAGAGTCAGCATAAATGCGTAACTGTTCCCAAAAACGAAATAATGGAAATCCTTGATCTAGAAAACTTAGCATTTAGCATTATCAGTCAAGAGTTATATTATTGGGTTCTATAAAAATGAGCAAATTCTAAGGTCCTATAGGACAACCAATTAGATTTAAGTTAGTGGTCTTTAGTAAATACTATAAATTTGAATCTAGTACATCTAAGTGGGGGTGTCAATTCAGGACAATTGGTCGAGTTTGAATCCGAACTGAAAATGACCAGACCCAAATAATAAATGTGCCGAAAACAAAGACCATAACCTAAATTTGACCCGCTAACCCAAACCAGATCCGAAATTTTGTAATTATTCAGGTCATATTTGGGTTTTCGAGTTTAGTCCGAACCCGACCAAAATAATAAACAGGTTGAACTCTCTGACCTGAACTCGACTCAAAAAATATTCGGGTCAGCCCTAACAAAGATTTTTCAAGCCGAGCTCGAGTCGTATTGGAATGTCGGATCAATTTTTGACACCCCTACATCCAAAAAAGGTTAAAATCCAAAAAATATTTGGTAACAGATTAAATAAATCTAGTTAAATCATGTCATATTGTTTGACAATTTGTATAAGAATTTAAAAGGTGGATATGCTTGTTAGAAAAAAAAATTCTAATTAAATTTTGATTATTTTATTATTATGATAAAAATTAATAAATAAATTCAATTAATTTCAATTTAAATTTTATTTTTAATCAAACTAATTAATAAATAACTATTCACAAAACTAAAAAGTTATTAATAAAAAATATTATTAAAATAATTACTTATTAAGCAATAATTTAATATTAATCAATTATTATATAATTATTAATAATATTAATGAAGAGCTATTTAGAACTTTATTAAATAATTTAAATTAAAAAAATATTTTTATTCATTAATTAACTATTAAATCTATATAAACTTATCTAATTATAATTAATTTGATAAAATATTAATAAATTATTAATTATTAATCAATTAAATTAATACAACAACAAAACCTTAATCCCACTATGTGGGGTCGGCTACATGAATCCTTTTTCTCCATTGCATCTTGTTTAGTGTCATATTTTCATTTAGTTCTAGTAAATTAAGATCATTTTTTATACAATAAGCCCAAGTCTTCCTAGGTCTACCTCTGTCTTTCTTAACACAAGTTGAATCTAAAACATCTCCTCTCCTAATCAAATCATCAGATGGTCGACGTTTAATTTGACCAAATCATCTAAGACAAATTTCTCCAATTTTGTCTGTCACAGGAGCTACACCAACCCTATCACGGATATATTCATTTCGCATTTTGTCTCTAAGTGTAAAGCCACTCATCCACCTAATCATTCTCATCTCGGCAACACTTAACACAACACTTA